TCAGGGGTAGGAAGGCTGACAAATTCTTTTAATCACTGGTTTAACTTTATCCACAACTTTCCTAAACAAGGGATGTTTAAAGGAAGGCTCTGTTAGAAACACATATGGGTGAGATTAAAAGACAGCCATCTCTGTTCATTCATTGCAATTATTTTGCTCCTGTCTGTTTTACAGGAGGGAAAGATCTGAAAATTCCTATCTCCCCAAAAAGTAAGGTAAGCAGTTGTTATCTCATTATATGCCACTTCTCTGTTCCTTACCCTAACATGGCCAAGTGATGGGAAAATGGGTGGGGCTTGAAGAATACCTCTGACACCCCTTGGCACTAAGGAAGATTTTTCACTCATCTGAGACCACTTCTAACCTCAAGTACTCTATATCCTCAGGAGTCCCCACAAACCTGGCAAGTCAGGCTCCAATGAAGACAATGGTCACAGGCACTGAGGGAACTATCTCCCTCCCTTGCTGGCCATCTTGTGGCGACCATCTTGTATCCACATGGGGGCAGCCATCTTGTGTGTTGGAGTGACAGTCAATTTGCATAGTACTCTTTTATTAGATAGGATAATACATGACAAAATCTGAGCCCCTCACAGATTTTTTAAAAATGCAATGACAATAACAAGCAAGATACTAATAGAGAAACTTCCTTCTAGTCTTTCCCAAAGGCAGATGGAGGTCTGATTTTATCTAACCCTGAATTTTAGGGCTTTATAAATGGAGTATTCAACATGGTATTACTACTGGAGTTGGGATTCTGTATTCTAACAAGAAGGCAGAAAGGAGCCAGTCATTATCCCAAAACTTAGCCCCTCCTCCTTAACTCCAGTGCAAAATCCAAGAGACAAAGCTGGAAGAGGGCCAACTTGAGGCTACCGTTCTTTCACTCTGTGTTCTGCAGGACATAGTCCTTCCTCCAACAGGCTGTCTTCCATCACATCCTTCTGACTACATTTTTATCTTATATCGCAGAGGCCAAATATGCACAGCCTAATCTTTTGGTCTTTTACAAAGTAACTGCTAACTGAGGATACTCTCCACATGGGACACACTGCCAATGCCAGAAGCCTCAAATGATGAGGTTTTACTTCTGTTTGATCATCAGCCAGTATGGCTAATGTGTGTTTGGGTTTTGTTCACCGTCTCTGCACATGGCACACATACTGCCAACTGTGTGTGTGTGTGTGTGTGTGTGTGTATGTGAGAAAGAGACACACACACACACACACACACACACACACACACACACAAAGAGAAAGGGATTAACTCTACCAGACTTTGACCCAATGGGAGATAAAGCCTTAAAACCAAACCATGCACCTCTGCCAGGTGTCACCCACCTCAGCACTGTCAAAGTCTACACTAGAATCCTACCGACAACAAGGTTCTGTGGGTAGGAAATTTGGTCCACAACTAAATTGTCTCATTAAAGACCTACAGCAATTTAAAAGCAGCTGGTATGATCCAGTCCTCAGAAAACAACTCTCACTTCATCTACAAAAGACAAAGTCTAATGATTGAGTTTTGTTTAAAAGAAAAAAGGAAAAAAAGGAATTGCTCCAAACAGATAAATTTAAGACTCAGACACAACTGCTGGGGAAGAACAGGGGTTGGGGGTTTTTAGAAGGAGTGGCCACAAGACACTGGCCTTGGCTGCTGAATATAGTTGCACCACTGAAGCTAATCGTGGATGGTCTAGGCCTGGGGTTAGGAAAAGAAAACATTTCTAAACAGAAATGCTGTAGTAGCTAAAAAAGCATAGAGCAGACAGAACTCACAGTGGGGACCTCAGGTCACTCAGTCTCAGGGCAGATCCAGAAGGGCTGACCTTGGCCCATGCAGGCAGGTGGCTCCAGCTCACAGAGGTAAGAAGTCTTTGGACAGAGACAGAAAACTGTGGCTGAAGGAAATCCAGGCATTCTTCTCTTTTCCCTCCATCCCCTTTTTACTTAAAAAAGAAATATTTCTGTAAGGTAAGTTGTGTTGCAAGAGTCTTCTATCAGAAAACAATGACTTTTTATAAGGATTTCAGTAATACCTGTAATCTCAAAAAGATCATGAAATTGATCATTTGGATATTTAAGAGAAGCAACAAAGATATGTCATTTCTACACTGCGATCAAAGGCAGTTTCTTACCATGTATTTGGAATACTTTTTTTCCTTGGTCTCCTACCTTAAAAGAAAATACCAACTCATCCCAACTACTACACCCTGGGGGAGCTGGAGAAGAAAAGTGAGACTGCCCTAATAAGAGAAGGTTGGGCAGAGAGATCTAATTCATTGAGATAAAAAATTAAATGCCAAGAAGGATACTGGCAGGGTCATCCAGATAACTGTATATGATATCACTATTGTGATAGTGAGGAGGGGACACCCTTATCTCCCAGCCTGGGAGATAAGGCTGTGGGTACCTATCTGCCTGTGGGTAGAAGAGAGACCACTAGGGCCTGGCTTAAAAAGAGGTGATTATAGGTCTTTTTAAAACACAAGACCCCGGAAGTCTTCCTGGGTGCTGTTCAATCATCACAACTGAAAATACTCACCCCAAAAGGGTTGATGTCCTAGATATCCTATCTCCCTTTGGGCCAGGGATTTATGTGAATAACTGAAACAACAGGCCCAGGGCAAAGAATAACTTTTATGGTTTTTGTTTTTCTTTTTAAATATGGAACACTTGGGAGAAACCAAGATGACAGCATAGGTAAAAACCTGAAATTGCTGCCTCACACAACTTCAAAACTACAACTAAAAGACAAAATGGACATCATCCAGAACCATATGAAGACTGGCTAACTGAAAATTCTACAACTAGAAGGGAAGAGAAAAGCACACTGAGACTCACAGAAGCTGCAGAAGTAAAGTGAGAGATACAGAGCCGTGTGCGCGGAGAGGGCTGGCAACTGAGTATGCAGCTGTCTTTTTCCAGTGGGAGGAAGACAAAAGCTCCTGACTGCTCTGAACTCCAGTTCTGGGCAAGATCTGGGGACTCAGACTCATATGGGGAGAAAATAGACTGGCAGTGGGCAGAACTCGAGAGCAGCCTTCTCTCAGAGGTGCTTGCAGTGAGTACCTCAGGACACTAAGACCTATGGGCCTCTTAGGGCAGGGATGATGGGAAGCCATTGCTATTTGTTCTGCCCTGAGACTCCATCCCATCCAAACTGTGCACAGAGGCTTTTGCATATGAATGGCCAGGTCCTTTGAAATCTAAACTTACCTAACAAACTGAAGCTGAGTTAGAGAGATCCAGAACTTCCAAAAGAAGGCCCGAGGCCTGACAGCAGCTTGCACTGCTTCATAGCTGGCCCTCATATGGACATCTCCAAAACCCAAACAAAGAAGAGGAATCTTCAGATCTCTCTGTAGCTCCTGCTGGGTGGCCTTAGGCAGAGGCTAAATTCGCATCTCCTTGGAGATCTAAAAGCCAGTGTACTCAAGGGTCAGAGTGAGACCATGCAGATTACAACTCCTCAGATCCATAAGGGACACACTCAGAGGGGAGACCCAATAAGCACCAAAGCCCCACGAAAGCAAGTCTTGTCTCATAAGGGTGTCTACAGCACAGAAGTTCTCCCAGAGTAGACACAGCTGATTCTCACAGCTAATGGGCCTGCAGGTCAATTCCTCCCAGTGATACCAACAACAATCAATGCTTAACTACAACAAGACTGATCACACAGCCCACAAAGGGGTACACTAAGAATGTCCACCTCACATAACTGGAGAAGCTGAGCCACTCGGCCACATAGGACACCGAGGACACAAAGCCACTCTATCAACTCAGGGAAGCAGCAAAAATGTGGAGACAAAGGAACAGGTCACAAATGAGAGGAATGGAGGAAAGCAAACTACTGGATATAGAGTTTAAAGCCACGGGTATAAGGTTTTTCAAGAATTTTTGAGAAAAGGCAGATAAATTCAGCGAGAGCCTTCAGGATATGAAAAAGGATTAACTAGAAATTAAGCATACACTGACTGAAATAAAGAACAATATACAGAGATCTAACAGCAGACTAGAGGACCACAAGAATCAAATCAAAGATTTGAAATACAAAGGAGCAAAAAACACCCCACTGGAAAAGCAAAAAGAAAAAATAATCCATAATTATGAAGATAGTGTAAGAAGCCTCTGGGACAACTTCAAGCATACCAACATCAGAATTATGGGGGTGCTAGGGATGCCAGAAGAAGTGAGAGCAAGATACTGAAAACCTATTGAAATAATAACTGAAAACTTCCCCCATCTGGTGAAAGAAATAGACTTACAAGTCTAGGAAACACAGAAAACCCCAAACAAAAGCAATCCAAAGAGAACCACACCAAGACACATCATAATTAAAATGCCAAGGGCAAAAGACAAAGAGAGAATCTTAAAAGTAGCAAGAGAAAAACAACTAGTTACCTACAAAAGAACACCCGTAAGATTGTCACCTGTTTTTCAACAGAAACTATGCAGGCCAGATGGGAGTGGCAAGAAATATTCAAAGTGATGAATAGCAAAAACCTACAACCAAGATTACTCTACCCAGCAAAGTTTCCTTCAGAATTGAAGGGCAGATAAAGAATTTCACAGACAAGAAAAAGCTAAAAGGAGTTCATCACCACCAAACCAGTATTACATAAATTGCTGAAAGACATTCTTTAAGAAGAGGAAGAAGTAAAGACAAAAATTATGAACAACAAATGCATATCTATCAACAAGTGAATAAAAAATCAAGTGAATAAAAAATCTGATGAACAGAATAAACTGGTGAGTATAATAGAATAAGGGGCATAGAAAGGGAGTGGACTGACAATTCTCGAGGGGAAAGGAGTATGGGGGGTGTGGAAAGAGACTGGGACAAAAATCTAACACTTATGGATGAGTAAAGTGGGGGGAGGTTTAAGGGCAAAGGGTTGGGTGGGAACCGGGTGGAGGGGAGCTATGAGGGGGAAAAAAGAGGAACAATAGTAATAATCTGAACAATAAAGATTTTTTTTTTTAATGCAAAAAAAAAAAAAAAAAAGGGAACACTTCACAAGTTTGGGAGTCATCTTTTTGCAAGGGCCAGTCTAATCTTCTCTGTATCATTCCAATCTATGTATATAAAAGTCTAAGCGACAGTCGCAACCGAAACAATGGAACTGACAATCAGGCTGTGTGAGGCAACCAGGCCGGGAGGGGTGTTAGTTAGGGGCAACCAACAGCAGGCTGTGTAGGGCAATCAGGATGGCAGAGGGGGGCAGCTGGGGGCAACTAGGCCGGTGTGTGTGTGTGGGGGGGGGGGGGGGGGAGAGGGGTTGGAAGCAACCAGACAAGCAGGCAGAGGCAATTACCGTATTTTTCGGACCATAAGACGCACCGGACCATAAGACGCACCAGTTTTTAGAGAAGGGAAATGAAGAAAAAAAGATTCTGAAACAAATAGTGTCCTAAAATATTTTATGTGCATTAAAACATCACAGTCATAAACACATGTAATCAACCCTGTAAAGTAAACAGCAGCATTTAGAACCATTTTAGAGCCAGGCAAGCACACAGAGACCACACAGAGCCGGGCAAGTAAAAAAACTTTTTTTTTTAAAGTATATGTGTAGGCTATATTTGGACCATAAGACGCAGGGACTTTTTCCCCCCACTTCTGAGGGGAAAAAGTGCGTCTTATGGTCTGAAAAATACGGTAGGTGTGATCAGGCTGGGGGTGGTGGTGGTGGTGGTGGTGGTGGAATTAGGGGCAATTAGGCAAGCAGGCAGGTGGGCAGTTAGGAGCCAGCAGTTCAGGATTGTGAGAGGGGTGTCCAACTGTTGGTTTCAGCCCTATCCAATTGGGCCTAAACCAACAGTCGAACATCCCTGAGGGGTCCTGGATTGGAGAGGGTGAAAGCTGGGCTGAGGGGACCCGCCCCCACCCCATTCACTGGCCTCTAGTTTTAGTATGTATGCTGCCGAAGTAAGCACTGATTGTTTTGTATTTTAATCCTCACCTGAGGATATGTTTTTATCGATTTTTAGAGAGAGCAAGCGAGTGAGAGAAACATAGACCAGTTGCTGTCCATAGGCTCCCTGACCATGGATCAAACCCTAACAAACTGAAGGGTCAAACCCGCAACCTGAGTATGTGCCCTGACTGGGAATTGAATCCAAAACCTTTTAGTGTACAGGTCCATGCTCCAACCAACTGAGCCACCTGGCCAAGGACAAAATGACATTCTTACTTTGGCTCACAAGATACAGATAGATAAGACAAAGCCCAGTTCCTGAGAGATGTGTAACTAAGATTAGCTCTACTGAACAGCTACATACCTGACCATAAGCATGGCCCTCAGTGATGCTCATAGAAGCACCTTGCATGATTGTTATGAGAATTAAATTCTGCCATTTATTTATTTATTTATATTTATCTTATCTAATAAAATAATATGCAAAATGACCATACCTCTGCTACACTCACAAGCCACACCCGCCAGCCACACCCACCATTCAATCAGAGAGAGTATGCAAATTAACCTCAATCAAGATGGCTGCAGCCACAGAAAGCAGAAGGGAGGCTTGCGTTTCCCAGGCAATGGAAGAAGCCAAGCTTTCCACCTGCCCTAGCCGGCCTAAGCCTCCACTTCAGGCCACAAAGTTTCAATTATAGAAGGTAAACAAATCCAAACAGAAATGGAGGCAGCCTTGGAGCAAGCAGGAGACTTGGCTCCACTCCAGGCTACAAAGTTTTGAATGTAGAAGGTAAATAAACTCCAGATATCAGGGCCTCTGCTTGGGTCGCCAGGGGGTATGGCCGGCCTGAGAACCACCACAGGCCCATCGCCCAAGCCACCCCACTCCCCAAGGGAACCCCCACCCTGATCTGGGATACCCTTAAGGGCAAACCAGCTGGCTCCCACCCATGCACCAGGCCTTTATCCTATCTAATAAAAGAGTAATAAGCAGATTGACCATCACTCCAACACACAAGATCAAGATAGTTGCCCCCATGTGGTCAAAGATCCTGCCCCCATGTCGACACAAGATGACCACTACAAGATGGCCAGCAGGGGAGGGCAGTTGGGAGGGACCAGGCCTGCAAGGGAGGGCAGTTGGAGGTGATCAACCCTCCAGGGGAGGACAGTTAGGGGTAACCAGGTTGGCAGAGGAGGGAAGTTGGGGGCAAACAGGCTGGGAGGGGAGTTGTTACGGGGTGATCAGGCTGGCAGGCAGAAGCAGTTAGGGGCAATCTGGAAGGCAGGCAGGAGAGCAGTTGGGAATCAGCAGTCCTGGATTATGAGAGGGATCCCTGATTGGAGAGGGTGCAGGCTAGTTGAGGGACACCACCACCCCTCCCCCACCCTCCCACTCCCCCTGTGCATGAATTTTGTGCACCAGGCCTCTGGTCTATACAGATAAAAGCCAAGCAACAGGAACAATGGAGTGACCAGAACAGCTGGAATGACCAGTCGCTATAATGCACACTGAGGTGGCCAACTGACCCGATTGGGCCCCATTCGGCCCCCAACCTCCCGTGGCCCTCCCCCAACCACTGGCCCTACCCCTGATCGGCCACCTCCACCCTGATCAGAGGTGGGCCAACCAGCCAACCTCTCACATCCTCTCCCCAAACTGGCCTGGTTCAATCGGTCCCCATTGGGGCAGGCTGGCCTGGCCCCACCTGTGCATGAATTTGTGCAATGGGCCTCTAATGTTTATATATATATGTACTCCCCTGCAGGCCTGGTCCCCCCACAACTACCCTCCCTGCAGGCCTGATCACCCCGCAACTACCCACCCCTGCAGGCCTGATCACCACAACTGCATCTTCTGTTGGCCCAGTCACCCCTAACTGCCCTCCCTGCTGGCCTGATCACCTACAACTGCCCTCCCCTGGAGGCCTGGGTCCCCCCAACTGTCCTCCACTGCAGGCCTGCCCCCCAACTGCCCTTCCCTGCAGTCCTGGTACCCTCCAACTGCCCTCCCCTGTTGATCTGGTCTCCTCCAACTGCCTTCCTCTGCTGGCCCATTCACCCCTAAATGCCCTTTCAGCTTGCCTGATCGCCCACACTGTCCTCCCCTGCAGGTCTGGTCCTCCCGAACTGCACTCCCCTGCAGTCCTGGTCTCTCCCAACTGCCCTCCTCTGCTGGCCTGGTCACCCCTAGCTGCCCACAACTGCCTTCCCCTGCTGACCATCTTGTGGTGGCCATCTTGTGTCCACTTAGGGACAACCATCTTTGACCATATGGGAGTGGCCATCTTGTATCTTGGAGTGATGGTCAACTTGTATATTACTCTATTATTAGGTAGGATATACACACACTACAAGGCCTAACACAGGAGATAATAAGAATAAATAGGAATAGTGTTGTATTTATTTCTTTTCATACTTTATGTTTTACTAAAAATACTGCTGCCCAATTTGATCATGTACTTCATTTACAAGAGCTGGGTGGCTGTGAAAAAATGACCAGATGATCTGCCTTCACCGGTCTCGTCGTCATTACCACTGGCCCTGGCGGTTTTCATAAAATTTTTTATGTGGGCCAGTTATAATTCTTATATCTTATATGCTTCAAAGCAGCAACCTGCTTCAAAAAAGCCAGTTTATTTCACCAGATATATTCAGAAACTGTGCCTGCAACTTATTGGTAGAAACAGAACATCAGCCCACCATCACCGACAAAAGGAACCCTGTCCTCAATGGATGACCCCAGCCAATCATTTTCCAGAGATTCCTCCTGAGACATCATCTAATCATATCTGTGTTATATGCATGGAAAAGCACTCCAGGTACAACAAGCAAAATCCTGGAGTGTCTTACAAAGACAATCTAAGAAAGAAGGTGAAGAGCAACATCTGGTGCTCACTTTGCAAGAAGTACCTCTGTGTGAAACAAGGCTCATCCTGCTGGGTGGATTGACACAGAAAGGTGGAATATTGGGCTAGATGAAAGGTAGACCTATTTTCTACAACGTCTCCAAGTTCCATCTTATTCTAACCACTTGTTTGCATGTAACTACCATGTTTCTCCAAAAATAAGACCTACTTACAGGTTTCCTTCTGAGTGAAATATAAGGCATCCCCCCAGAAAATAAGGCCCCCGGTACAACATTGTTTAGGTTGGAAGATACTCAAGTTATTAAGTGAGCACTTGCATTCAGGTCCTTTATTAATGATGCTGACTTCTCTAAATACAATCTTTCCAAAATCATTGCTATGGATGAAACTGCAGTGTTTATGGGCCAATCATCTCAAACAACAATTGAACAGCGGGGTGCCTCCTTAGTGTACATTCCCTCCACTGCTTACAAAAGTGCAGGTGTTTGCTGTATTTTGGCAATCTGTCTGGATGACACTAAAATCCCACCTTTAATCATTTCTAAGGGCAAGAAGGAAAAGATTGAACGTGTTTTGGGCGTTTTTATTCTTGAAACTGAAAAAGCCTGGGCCACACAAGCAGTTATAAGGAAGTGGGTCGATTTAATGCTGGCACTTGTTATGCGAGGGAGCCAAAGAGGTCTGCTAGTCTGTGATGCAGCCAGCACTCAACGCGCTAAAGACATGAAGACATTTCTTCATGAAAGAAAAATAGATCAGATAATGATTCCCGCAGGAATGACGGCCTATCTCCAGACTCTTGATATTGCAATAAGCAAGCCATTCAAAGACAATTTGTGCATGGAAATTAATGACTACATTGAAAATAGAATGGAGAGAAATCAGTGTGGAAACTTTGTGAAACCTAAACTGCAAGAAGTTGTGACTTGGGTGAAGAATTCATGGGAGAAAATTACTGACAATTGCATTGAAAATGCACTGCGAGCAGGCTACCTTGACAAGAAGTACTCATTTAAAGACAGTGCTATTGCTAAACATGAGAGATTTGGTCTACTGATTCTGAAAGAAATGGAGTCACAAGAAGTTCACCAGGAAATTCAGAAATTGGATTGTTATAATGATGTTTCAGAAGATGATGCCATGATTGTCATTGAATAAATGAGTAAATTCTTGATACTGTAGGATTCACAGTTTGTCTGGTTTGTGTTGACAACTACCGTACTACCGTACCGTATACAGGTAATAAATTTCCTTTATTTTCATTTAACAATAAATGTGTACTGTATTCTTCTTCATGGAAAAATAAGACAT